GTTGCTGCTAGTAACCGCTGGGCAACATGGACACGTTTCAACGCAATTAGTAAGGTAGTAGTAAGGTAGTAGTAGTTTCACGGCATTAGTAAGGTAGTAGGTTTCTTGGGGAGATATTAGTGCGTTGGTTGCTTTTAATTTTGACATCTAGCGCCCATCTAGTGTGGGAAATTATATATAAAGCACGTATATATGGAATAACCCAGATGGATATACCGGTTACCTGATTAACGTGGGTTTCTTCACTACGTGATAGAGCGTTTGCGCTGTGTAACCAACGGCTGGCCTTTTTGTCTGCATGCAGGGAACTCTACGTCTGCTGCTCGTGCTGCTGCACGACTTCCCCGAGTTTCTGTGCGACTACCACTACGGTTTCTGCGACGTGATCCCGCCGAACTGCATCCAGATGCGCAACCTCATCCTCAGTGCCTTCCACGCAACATGAGGCTGCCGACCCATTCACGCCCAATCTCAAGGTAGAGGGGCCCCCCACTCGTTCTCTCGGGGCGGGGGGGAGCTTGTGGTGTGTAAGGAAGCGTAAATGCCTTCGCCATAATAACCCAGGGGCCCGTTGTCAGAAACAAAATTAGTCTTAACATTAGTCTTAACATTAACTTCCACTCGTAAACCGTTGACAGAAACATCGCAAAGTTACGAGAATGAAAAATCTTCGAAAATATCCTCTTAACATTACGAGCGCCAGACCCTCTCGTAACTTTAATGTTAAGTTGAAAAGAACACATTTACACTACGAATTACAATTATAGTGATATTATATTATAATAATGAATAAAATGTTTGTTTTTTGAAAAACACGTCAAAGTCATTAATTATCTACCAATCATAAAACAAAACAAAACATTTACAAATGGCGTATGGCATTTGTTCTCTTGTTTTAAATGTTTGCCACGCCTTGGCACGACTCTCGCGTCTCGTGTTACAGTGTGGAATTTGTCTTGTTGTGCAGAATAAATTCATGACCGCGTCGTTTTCATCAAATATTATTTATATGTGGTTAGCCATCATAATATGCATAAATTACTGTGATGTACAATCAATGTGTATGAATTTGAATTTTGTGATCGATTCTCATCCAATCAGCAGCCTTGTGATGAAGTTCCTGTTATCGTAAGTTTTCTAATAGCTGCGATGTGTTTCTGTCAACGCTCCTCTCGCTAACATTAACATTAGTCGTAAGTGTTATCTTAGCATTAACATTAGCATTAACTTTACGATGTTTCTGACAACCACGGTTCGTATCCTGGTCGCTGGTGTGACCATGTCTTGCAAGTGTGATTGTCGTAGATGCGGTTGACTCATTCCTTCTAGTAGTCCTGCACTCGTTCACTCCCAATCTCAAAGTAGAGGAGCCACCACACTCATCTCTTTTGGGGGGGGAAGCTTGCGATGTGTATGTCTTGGAAGTGTGGTTGTCGTGATATCTTAGCTCCTGGAGTCGTTGAACACATTTGACATTTGACTACCGCATCCAAGTTTCTTATGTTACGAATTAAATAGATTCCTGTATTTGCAAAATTATCGGAAAAGTCTTATCGGGAAATGTAACCAAATGTGTTTTTAATTGCACAGAATCCACAGCTGGACATAAGAAGAGGACAGAATCCCCCACCCCCACCCCATCCCACCCATGCACGCACACACACACACTGGCCCCAATTTTTTTAGTCACTTCTTTTTGTTATGAACACTTATGTTGATACTCTCGGTCATGCTTTAAAAAAAATTAAATAGATTGTAGTACAGTTACTCTCCGACTTACGAACATTCGATATTCGAAATTTCCACGATACGAACAATTTGCCCTGAAGTCGAACAAAATTTAGGTGCAAGGTTTATATCGCAGATCCGCCACGTGGTGCGGCGATGTAGCGCGGGAACGCCGAGATGTAAGGCTACCTTTTTTGTTTTTTTGTTTACAGAGAATTTTTGTTGTTGTGTTGACTCGGTAGGGTAAAAAAAACAAAAAAAAACATTGTCGTTTGTCAGATCAAACAAGTCAAAATACAGTGATACTGTTATACATGATATTAAAGTATTTTAAGGAAACTAAATGAAAACAAAACTCAAAATTATTTTTACTTTTATTATAAACTGTTTGTTATAAAATGTTTTTGTTTTTTACATTTACATTTTTTATTCATATTTCTTAGAGAAAGGGTCGGTGGGAATAAAAAAATACAGATTTTCAATTTATATTTTTTTTCGTTTTTCTTGAAAATTTTGGGTCGCGCGATCTGTAAACAACAACAAAATAAAAAAATCTTGCCTAAACAATAGTGTGTTACTCTAGTGGCATCGATCACACGTGTGCACGTGCTCCACAAATACTACACTACTGTACAATACTGTATACGTACGTACATATGTTTGACTTGCGAACAAATCGACTTACGAATGACAGCTCGGAACCGAACCTGTTCGTAAGTCGGGGAGTCTCTGTATTTTTCTCAATTTCTATCTTTTCGATTCTTTCTGCAGGTGGACATGCTGCCTGAGATTAACCACCCACCACGCATCCTCACAAACTTCATCACTGTGATCCAGCCGGCCAGCTTCAAGAAGGACCTCGATTCTTACATCAAGACGCGCAGCCTGTTCACGTTCCTGTCTGAACTAAGAACCAACCTGCAGGTAGGTTGTATCCAGAGCGTATTTAAGGCCACAATTAAAAAAATCGTTGTTTGCCTCACCCGACCCAGGCTGAAAAGTTTGGGTAGGTAGATTTGAGGTTTTAAATTTTTTTTACAAATTCAGCATGGTGTCTACATGCTCGGGTGTGCTTGTGTGGAGATACCTTTTATGTTGAATGTTTTGTTTTGCTTGGTACATATAATGTATTGCCTAAAGATTTATATAATGTACAGCGATACAATTTGTAAAAAAAAAAGAATTGAAAGATCAATAAAAATGATTGAGTAGGCCCCTTTTTGTCGGGTCGGTCGGGTGAGGGCAAACAAACAATATTTTTATTATGGCCTAAGTATGAGAGCGTACAACGCCCCTTTTTGTCGGGTCGCGTCGGGTGATGGGCAAACAAACAATATTTTTATTATGGCCTAAGTATGAGAGCGTACAACGGTGAAATGCAAAAACCATGGTGCAGTTTCAGTGGAATTAGTAAACATTACCCGTTTTATTTTGACAATTCTGCAGTATTATTATTCAGCAGGTGTCCTACCTTGATGGTATAAAACCATATAAGGTAGGACAGCTGAATAAGAATACTGCAGAATTGTGAAAATAAAACGGGTAATGTTTACTAATTCCACTGAAACTACTACATGGTTGTTGTATTTCACCGGTGTACGCTCTCATACTTAATATGCTCTTGGTTGTATCTGTTGTTGTAGCGAGAGCAGCTTATGGTTCTTGAACGGGGAGGTGCGGCCATACCGGCGTCATGTTCACGTTCGATCTTATTCGATAATACTGTTGTTCGAAGGACTACTCTTATTTTTGCTGTTTGCCTCGATTGTGCGATTAAGCGGGGGACACACCATGCGAATTTATTCGCACGTCCGCAGCGATTGTAAAATCGCAGCGAAATTCGCATGGTGTGTCCGCGCGTGCGAATTTCATCCGCACCAAAATTCGCAGCTATCAAACTTTTGATATTTTCGCTGCAAACGTGCGAATATAGACTGGTACCTGTCCCTTCTCACAAGCTCGATATAGGCCTATATCGAGCTTGTGAGAAGGGACGGGTACCAGTCTAGTGCGAATAATGGCCGATTGTTATAATGCAGTGAATTATTGATCAGTATGCTTATCACGTGACCACATGACTGTTGGAGCCATGGTGGAGCAATCTATAATTGCCGCGGACGTGCGAATAAATTCGCATGGTGTGTCCCAGGCTTTAGCGTTCAACCTTGTTTGATAATTTCGTAAGGACTACTTATATTTCTGCTGATTGCTTCGATCGCGAGTGTTAGCACCTTGGCATGCACTCGATAGGTTTCTTCATGCATATGGAAGAACAGTCCTCAAGTGCAGAACATGCAGTGGTGGTCTACAGACGTAATGCAGACGTGTGTAGGCTGTTTTACACGGCTGAAAGTACGTCAGGGGCTTGGCGGAGGTTATGTTTTCACCGGCGTGTCTTTGAGTGTTGGTTTGTGTTACCATACACGTTTCAGTTCACTTCCGCTAGGTGCGCTGGCTGTAGACTTACAAACACGCAACCACAGGCTAAGGGGCAACCACAGTCCTCCCCCACCTGCACGCTCGCACTAATCCAGATACAATTAATTATTTAATTAATTAATTAATTAATTTTTCCACTTAATTAATTAATTAATTAATAAAATACTTCACATTGAGAGAATTCAGCTGCCTTGGCGGAGGTCTGTGCTCTCCGAGTGCTCTAGTTATATTTATTATTATTTTATTATTATATTTGTTATTGTTTATATTTGCAGGTCTCCAATGAACCAGGCATGAGGTACAACATCCCACTGATGAACGCTTTGGTGTTGTACGTGGGCACACAAGCCATCGCTTACATTCACAGCAAGGGCCTCACACCAAGCATGGGCACGATCACCCACTCATCCCACATGGACATATTCCAAAATCTTGCCGTAGATCTTGACACTGAAGGCAAGTATATTTCTGGCAAGCATGTATGCGTGTGTACGTGCGTGCATAATACGTGCGGTTTTTCGCTCAGAACTGCTGGCGTTTGCATTATCAGTTCGTATAATTTGTTGTCAGCTTTCTATACCGTTTGCCCGAACTTTATCGATTCACAGGTCGTTACTTGTTCCTGAATGCGATTTCCAACCAGCTGCGCTATCCGAACAGCCACACGCATTACTTCAGCTGCACACTGCTCTACCTGTTTGCTGAAGCCAATAACGAGCAGCTGCAGGAGCTCATTACCAGGTGAGGGCTCGTTAACGTTGGTGTTTGACGCGCTCGTCAGCGACGCCGTCGTTACAATGGTCGTGGAATTTCGAGTAATTCTTTCGGCACGTGTTCTCGAAGCGGTTTGCGAGTTGCTCGCTTGATTGTGTATCGTGCTACTAGGGTTAGGGTTATGTTGTATTACTTTCCTGCTATTGCGTGTGGTTAATATCAGTGCGTGTGTGCAATTTTTGCAGAGTTACCCACGTTGTGGTAGTCTGTCACGTATTACATTCTCAATGGCTTTATGTTCTATGACCTTCCTGCTATTGTGTTTGGTAATATCAGTGCATGGGTGTAATTTTCGCAGAGTTCTGCTGGAGCGCATGATCGTGAATAGGCCGCACCCATGGGGTCTGCTGATCACCTTCATTGAACTCATCAAGAATCCGACCTTCAAGTTCTGGAACCACGAATTTGTGCGCTGCGCTCCCGAGATAGAGAAGTATGGACGGAGAGTTTGTGCATTGAAGTTTTCGCTCTCGTGCCGATAAGTTTTGTAATGGGATTTGAGTAACGTTTAGTGGCATGTCACTTCTCACTATTGCGCTCAGACTGGCGATAACTTTACTCGTCGAACCCAAAGGAAAAGAACCTGAGATTCACACGTTAATTTTCTTGTAAATAGGCTATTGTAGCTAACTGTTTACGAAGCATGATAATTGTAATTGTAATGATGCATGGCATTTGTGATTAGCTGTCGTTACGGATGGTCACGACATTTCGAGTAACTCCGTTGGCATGTGTTCTCAACAGGCTCTTCGAATCGGTCGCTCGCTCATGCATGCAGCCGAAGCAGGCACCGACGATCGGCAGTGGAGAACAGCAAGAAGTTCACTAGACCACAGCGGGCGGTACGCTCTAATCCACTACCAGCACCGACGATGGGGTGAGACGACGGCAGAGAGAGAGAGAGAGATGCCGAAAAGAACTGTTGCTTTATTACCGAACAAAAAAAATCGAAAAATGTGTAACATGACGATAATAATCGGGGACTCATGATAATCAGGAAAGGTTGACTTTCGGAGAAGAATTTAGAACGTGAGAGAAACGGCCAACGATGACTGAGAAAAAGAGAAAGTCGCGAATTTAGAAAGAGAGAAACAGCCAACGATGACTGCTAGCGTCTGCAAGGAAGGATGATTGCAAACGAGCCGGCTGGATTCCAAAACGCGAGTGCAAGGCTGAAGTTGGGAGGAGAATTGGACACCGGTAAACTAAGACAGATTACCTGCTGTCTGCCGCTTTATTTCGTTATACTGTCGTGTGTCTTGTGTCGATACCGTGCACGCAGTGTTGTGTGTGTGTGTTTTTTGTTGTTGTGCAGGTACATGTTTTTGCCGATCCTTGAAGATTAAGTGCATAGCAATATATGCATCGGATGCGAATGAATGCGTTGCAGCAAATGAAGAGGAACAGAAAGGTCTTGTCGGGACAGTCCGATTTTGTGTTGGATGTTGATCTATTTGCTCAGGTGTTGTGTAATAATTTACTGTTCTGTGTTTGCGCGGGGTAACATTCCAGTTGCCCGGGTGTTCGGATATATTTGCAGACAACGACCGACGTCGTTGGTGCTTCGCGCAACGGTGTACTCGCGGTCTTGGAAGCAGTAATTCATGCAGCAAGCTAGTGTAATTCGAATGTGTGAATTTTAGATGACAATATTTTCGTACATCAAGTTCAAATAATGTCTACCCTCTCCCCCTGAATTACAGGGAACACGAATGGTACGTGTATATCACCTGAGTATAGTAGGTAGGTGGACGATTCCTAAGTTTGTACAAATTGATTATATATTTTTTCGTGGGTACCGCACAGAAACTATGCTAGTTTGCTGACTAATCATTGCTTTTGGGCGTTTGAGTGTGTTTGTCTGCAGGAGAGTGCAGGGCTGTGATCCGTAGGTGGGGTTTCCCGCTGTGCAGGCGCACCATCGACTGATCATCGCTTTGCATCACATCTTACTAGCGCACACAGACTGTGAGATGTATAAACACCGTGTGCATGTACGCAGCGTAGCGCCGAGGTGAAGGGCCGCGATTGCATTTAAACCGGAGATGAATATGCGAGAGCGGTTTGCGCACGAGTTCCCCGCTCTTCTACCCTTCTGTGAATGTGTGTGTGTGTGTACGTGCGCGCGTGTGTGGAATCCTCGAGCGGTCTGGTTTCCCTGCAAGGAGAAAACCTCTCGGAAAACGTGTTAGATGTGTAAGTGATGGCGATTAGTAATCGGCGCGCTGGAATTCCGCGATGGAGGCCGAGAACCCTGACGTGGCTCGTGGGTTCCTAGGGAGTGATACTTGACTAGTGGCGCTCATGGTGACGACGAGAAGGTAAGCCTGCGTGGGCACGCGTGCCGGCTTGGCAGAGCCTACGTGTTACCTGAGTAGCTCCGGTGATGTCTAATTTAGTGCGTGTGTGTGCGCGTGCATTTGTGTGTGTGTGTGTATACTGAGCTGCAGTGTTCTCGTGTTACAAAGTGAATGAATACAAGCAGAATAGCAAGTGAACTGTCATTGAACGAGTCGGAGCCAACATTTGGAATGTATAGAGGAGCTGCCGTGTATTGGTGTGTGTGCGCGCGTGTGTCGTGCTTGCGTGCGTGCGTGTGTGTCAATCTTGCGTTCGTGCGTGTCTGTAAACTGTATATTATATAACGTTCGATAGCTGTTGAATGTATTTTTGTTTGAACGTCGGTGTAAGAGCGATTGTGGCACGTGATTTTTCGGAGGGCAGACATGTTGGCATCCGCTGAATGGTGTACGTTATTCGAGTGCGTGTATAGGTGAGTCGAATCCGGCGTGATGCAGCAATCGGGAGGTGAAGCTGGTGTAATTACTGAATATCAGCAGCAGATTTCAGTATGTAGAGTAACGAAGCGGTGACGTTTCTGTTGCAACCAGTAAATCCTTGAGCGTTGGTCAGCCCGCCTATCGTCTCGTGATCGGAGCTTGTCCATTCTTGTGGTCACCGGTTGGTATCGTCAAGATTCGACCATCATGTACGTTTACAAAATGCACCGCACTCTCGATTAAAAATGACACGCGAAGTGCCTTCAAACATTATACCCCAAGAATATATCAGGTGTCCACGCGCGCGTTCGTGCGTGCGCGTGTGCGTGCGTGTGTATTCTTTTTCATATTTGCGACCAAATGACATGGGTGTGGTGGCAGTTTGATTTGCTGTTCTGCTTGTACTGTGTGTACATACATAATAATTTTCAACAAAACGAATTCAGTCCATATAGATGTATGATCTCGTCTTCTGCATAGCGCTTCAATATATTTAACCGTGTAATACTTATTTAGCATATAGAACCATTTTGAAGCGGTTCCAATTTGGTGTTAGTTAATAAACTGCATTTGCAATAAATACCGTTGTTTGCTTTAAATTTTCCATGACCTAAATATCTATAGTTGAGTTAATTGAGTACTATACGAGAATGTCAGAAATAACCCTTGTTGTTCCGAGGACGTGATCGTATAGTGTTGGTGAAATCAACAAATTCTTTTCGTCATTAGTATTGTTACATGTTCGCTCACACAATTTTCTTTGCGGGTTGAAAAAGAAAGCTTCAATATACTATCCCCGTAGACCTACTTTTAACCCAATAGGTGGCGCTGTAGTGGTATAAGTTTAGATACATTTTTGTGGTCCTGCGTTGCTGTCGGAGGTGGTCAGTCACACATTCAGGATTTTTACTGCCCTCCTTGATAGGACCATTCCCGATTAAAATTTGTCAAAAGTCTGATCAAGATCCTGTGATTCGTGGCGGGAAATTCAAACTTTATTAAAAATTTGTAAAAACATTTATTTAATCACGGCGGCAATCAGATATTGTTCAGGAAGCGTCCCGATTCAGCCGTTTCCAGCCGAATTCGTCCCGATTCTCCAGTTCTCAATCCGATTCTGATCCGATTTGTATCGTTCACATGGTAAAAAAACGACCAAATCTGTCCCGACAGCGTCCCGATTCTCCCGAATGCGATCCGACAGTGAACCGACGCTGACGGAAGACGATGACAATGATGGATTTCTCCAGATCATGCCCGTTCATCACGACAGCGTCCCGATCCACAGGACATTTTTACGGTTTTGATCCGATACAGCAGAATCTGTCACGACATAGTAACGATTGTAATCCGACTAGACAAAATCGGCTGAGTTTCCCGAATGTTACGGGACGCACCTAACTGTCGGGAGTGCTTGCCCGACCTCTCCGGACCATTCCCGATCCGTAGGACTCTGTTACGAACGTATACGACTGCGTTCAGACAATGATAGGACATTCCAGATCATTGAAGATAGTAATCCGACTTTTTCACTTTTCGTGTCGTAGCGCTGTCTGATCTCAAACGGGAGCCATAATCGGCACTGTGTGAACGCCGCATGAACGCCGCATTAGGCGTAATGAACGCAGAACATAGCCAAGACTGTATTTGCTATCGTCCGTACCCCATAATTGTCAACATTACGATCAAATGATGTGAATTAATTATTTGTGTGTGTTTCCTAAGACACTGGATTATACAAAGACATGCACGTACTACACACACGCACGTTTGTTATATACTGCTGTTTCAGGTAGGTCGACCAATGCTGAACGAAAAGAATGGCTATAGCAACACATTGGAGTCGAGATTAGTGTCTAATCCTGATAGGCGCAAGTCCTTTGCTTGTAGTTGCAACAATATTATCGTCATAGTCCATACCATTCTGATTATTCAGATCAGTGGGTAAATTTAAGAAAAAGTTTTTTATTCACTCTAATTATTATTATCAGCATCGGTAGCGCAGCAATAGCATCAGCGTTATCGTCACGGACATGGTAATGCTCCACAGCCGCAGAAGCATCCAGTAGTAGAAGTAGCACTGTCATCATCATCATCATCATCGTCATCGTCGTCATCGTCGTTGTCATCATCATCAACAATCGTGAACAGAACGATAAATTAAACAACAACAACGACGGCGACGACGACGACGACGACGACGACGACGACGATGACGACAACAACAACAACAGTAGGAGCAGCAATAATATAAATATAAACTCTAGCTTTGTAAAGAGCGCACAGGATATGTCCTCATGGTAGACGCGCAACTATAGCTGTACTCCCACGGAGTAATTATCACTGAACTTCGCTGCGAAATAATTAGTTATGGTTACTAATAATAAATAAAAAAATAACAAACAATAATAAATTAGTTCATCGACAATCAAACCACGCCAGTTTATATACTCCATTGCGACCCGTCGCGGATTCACGTCCTCTAACATATATACGATTCATTTAAATAGGTCGGGCAGACACATGACATACGCTGCATATACGCGACGCGGGAAGGCGACATACGCCTCTGACATGTTGCCGACTATATACTGACGGGAGACCGTATCGGCGACACTACTCCAGGCCAGGGAGCTTACAATCGGCAAATTCTCATCATAATGTAGTGGCATGCTTGCGCTGACTGGCAGGCAACGAGTGGCTCTTGTACGGTCTACCATTAGTGGGTTATTAGCTTGGGGACTGCATCAGGCAAGGCCGGCGATTTGCACATGGTTCTGACAGCTGGCCTTATCTAGGACTGAAGTCTGTACAAATATTTGATCACGTTTCGGCGACAGTGTATTATCATATTAAAATCAAATAGTATTAAATATTGAAATAACATGCCGAATACTCGGCGAGTGTTTATCTTGAGGAAGAGGTGTTGTTGTTTCCAATTAAACTTCAAATTCGGTTTAATGCACCGAGCAATTTTATTATTGGAAGAGCCCGCAGTTTTAGTGTTATCGTCTGGCAGATTTTTTACGGCAAACGTTGTCGGCGCTTCCAGAGTTTGCTCGTCAAATGAATGACAGCAATAGTATTCTTTCCCTGGGTTGGGTCCACTCTCACGGATCATTCTTCATAGAACCAACAATGTAGGCGCATAATCATGAACAGGAATCGGCTTATAATAGGCGATAGTTTACGTGATAGATATTTTGGCTCACGACGACGTGGTTTTGTAAAAGCAAAATTTTGGAGAAATTATAAACGGCGATTTGAAAGCGATTATTGTACTAGAAATAACAAATTTCCGAATTGCGACGTTTTAATAGCGGTTGTATTTATTAAACCTGTTTCAAACCGCTTTTCATCATCACGAGTTAGTTCTACAATCGACGATTAGTAAGCATGATTTTAACTTATAAGCAATTTTTACCATAATTGCAGATTTTTCCCCTGGAAACTTTCTGTAAAGAAATATTTCCACATATATTTCTTGTTATATTTTTCTATGTTTCATGCTTAATTCGCAATGAGATGATGAGTACGATTCATCACAGCTGGGACAGCTCACACGTACGTACCCCAGCTTTATAATCTGCATAATAGACTGCAGCATATATGATCATAAATTCTCTGGTTGCAATTGTGTGTTGAAGCGCACGTCGCATCGCATTTTCAACCCGCTTTTCAACTTGATTTAATAGTTTACGCGTGTTTCTTTTCGGTCGTAGTCCCTGCGCAAAAATGACTGCTTGAGTAATGTAAAGTGTCGTGTTAATTAAAATGGCATTCTGAAACAAGGGACGCGAAGCAATTAGCAGTAATAAGCTTGAGAATAGAGCAGATTCGGATTGTGTCGACACTCGTGTAATTATTGTTTACAATTGATCTAATCAGGTTTGACATGTAAATGGGCGAACCGAAATTTCGACGAATCAGTATTATCAATGGAACAACACGCTTCAGCGCACGTGTTTCTGGCCTTCTGTGTTACCGGCTATGACGTAACGCAGTTACATATCTGTGACCAACGCCGCTATACAGCTAAAATCCACAGGAAGCAATTTATGTCGTATATTTTTTGTCGCTATATAAGCGCTGAAAAGGCGCGTTTGGTTCACAGCAATTTAGACCAATGATAGTTGGGTATTGCTATCCTCCGGGCATGGAGGGACAGTCACGTGATACAGTTGACGTATACTTCAAAACTCAACCGTAACAATAAGCCTAACTCCAACACTAACCCTAACACTAAATATCTATATATCGGATATCTATATATAGGGGTGTCATCCACAAAAATTAATCTATGGTATGGGGACAGATATCATGATGCAAAAACCCTAACCCTAACCCTAACCCTAACCCTAACCCTAACCCTAACCCTGATCCTGTGCCTAATGCAACCGGCAGTTAGATGCGATATGAGATGACTACTAGGCACTTTAATTTAATTAAATTTTTTTTTTTTTTTAGGGTTAGGGTTAGGGTTTAGGTTAGGTTTAGGGTTTAGGTTAGGTTAGGGTTAGGGTTAGGGTTTTTTTTTTTTTTTAAGCGCCTAGTAGTCATATCATAAGTGCCTAGTAGTCATATCATATCGCATCTAACTGCCGGGTGCAACCCTAATCCTAACACTAGTGCTGCCACGTTGCGGTACTGTCCCTCCACGCCCGGGGGATAGCATTTCCCATGATAGTTGACATGATCCATGAACACAATGCTGCTGTTCGTTCGTCAACGCTCTCTTCGTGCCATTGTGTGAAAAATACCACAAGATCTTTTGCATTCATAAAATCACTTTAAGCCTTATTGAAAGTGTTTCCTGAGAGAATTTAAGGAATCTGTCACACAATACCACTGCTTGCCACACAATGATGATTGATTTCTATTTTCCCTACACACCAGACAGTGTTCTCAACCTTGTGCAACGCCCGTGATACTGTATACCCTGTTAGAAATCCAGCCAGTGTGTGTATCGATATCGAAGGGGATAATAGCATGTAAAAATGATCCATGTTGTGACCACTTTTCACATTTTCGCCGGCCAGCGCAATATTCGAAGGGAGCTTACATTGGCATATATATTAGTCCATCTCGTCTGTCCAGGTACATGACCTGTTTAATACTATGGTTATCTGCCTCGAGTCTCTGCTGTCTATTTAGCAGTCATGCCATAAACACATAGGGCATTACGTTGATAAATAGTGCGACAGTGCCGTGACTTAAAAACACCATGCATTAGGAGAATCAGTATAGCTCTGCTCCGTACACGGATGTCATCATCAGCACATCCAAGGTTGTTCCGCCTCCTGGCGGATGACCCTGCGATCTTCTACGGCCAGTGACTGCCTCCTCCAACGTCCGGGGCGTTGCTGCGGTTATTATGTACGCTGGCAGCAGCTAACGTTCGCTACGCTGGCCAACCTTGGTGATCAAACTACTCGTCGAATTTGCTTGCGACACCTCTTCAATCAGTTCCTTCACTACACGGTGGCTTTGTGGCGATAATGGGCCGTAATAGCAATAATTAAGATAATCTTCTCATTCTGTTTGTCTCGCCTCTGCGTTTCACATACACGTTACCGCTGC